AGGCCAAGGTCGGCATAGACCTTATAATTGCGTTTGGCCAAGACCAAGACTCTACCGGGAATCCGGGGATTTTTACTCCGTATCCACGGGCGACGCAACACACCGAGGTGCGCAGAGTCCGCGTCAGCGATGTCTTTCCTCGAGAGGACTTTCACCGGGGAGCGACGCGAGGACGCCTCGGGCGCCAACAGCCTCGTTCTTGAGGACGCCTCTCCCAAAGGGGAGACTCCCTCAGTTAGTTTTCCGCCTTCGGCGGTGGGTTGGTTTCCTCGACAACGAGTGCTTCATCCCGTTGACGGGGGTTTCTATCCGCATAAGCGGGGGTTGCAACGGATGGTTGCGTGATCTCCCGAATCGGGGTGTATGAAGCTTGCCTCGCATGCGGGGTCTGTGGTAGGGCATGGGGAAAGTCCGTTTTAGCACGGAGGTAGGAAGCCGTCGGGACGGAACGTTTCTCCTCTGGAGTGAGGGCCTCATAATTTGCCACCACCTTGGCCATATCCTTCAGTGAACAAATACACTGAGGTGAGGTATGGCCATGGGCATAGCACAGGTGGCAAATCAGAGCCAATACCGCGACACGCGGATTATTATTCCGAGTATCGGAGAAGCGAACCGCAGCGCGGGTGTCAGTCCATCCAGGCCGTTGATAACGGGATTGATCGTTTGAAAACGGGAGTCGTTGTGGTTGAACCCGACTGTTACCACCGTACAAAACGGGGTCTTCCGTTCCCGTATCACGGGTCATCTCCGTCGTTGACGGTAAATCACTGGTGGGTATCGACACACCATCCTCCTGCACCAAATGCACGGTATCAAATCCCTGTCCAGGGTTCCCATCCGCAGTGAGCTGGAGTGAGAAAGCTTCGCTTTCTAGCAACAACGCCTTGGCGGATTTAGACCGATGGTTCGGAGTTCTTGCACGGAGTGCATCCCCTTCCGCTCGGGCGTGTTGAACCAGCTCGAGATAGGTGATCCTCCGCTTGTCCTCCCGATAACGGGTAACTAAACTCCGGATTGCCGGGTCAAGACCATCGATGAACATGGTACTGCGCTCCCAAGCGGGGTATACGTTACCACATCTGTGGAAAGCCTTGTTAAGGCGCACCGAGTAATCGGTCTCGGTCTCTCCAGCACGCTGGCGTGTATCTCGCAAAGCGAGGATAGCCTGCTGGATAGCGGTGTTTGTGGCGTAGGAGCGCAGTAGATACTGCACAGCCTCCGGCCAGCAAGTAACTCCTCCCTCGGAGGCACGAGAAGATCCTCTGACAGAGTTGTATTGGTCCTCCGCCATTCCCCGTAAGAAATACGGTAAAACCAAATAGGCTTGTCCCTCATTCATACCGAGGATATCGGCCTCCGCTACAAAACGGGATAGGAAATCCAGTACTAGGGCTGGGTCCTCTCCAGTGAAATACTGGTTGCAGAGCGAGAGCTGCATTCGATTAATGCATTCTCGCACCTTTCCCGTACCACGGGACGTTCGTCCAAGTGACGAGTCTTCGAGCCGGTAGTACCGGTATGATAAAAGCTTCCGGTAATCCGGGTTTGTCGGTTTCAATTCCCGGAGACCGGGGTGTCTTCTCCCCTTCTGGCGGGTTCGGACCACACCTTCAGTGGCCGATGACCGCTTCGAGTGGGAGGAGTAGCCTCGCTTCTCGTCCTCCGAGTTGGAGTCCGAGGAGCTCGAGCTAACCGAATGGTTTCGGGATGAGTCCGACGATGTCGAAGAATCGGAGTCCGAATATTTTGGGTGGTGTTTCCGTCGATGACGGCGTTTCTTCTTCCCAGCAAGCTGGTCGTTGTGCGATGCCTCGTTTACCGGATCACCCGGGGATGGTTTGTCCATGAGGAAGAACTGCTCCAGCGTCTCCAGGCGGGCACCAATCCGATCAAATCGGGCTTCAACTCCTTCGATGAAGGTGGCGGGTTGTCCCAAACTCTCCAACACGGAGTTGACGTCAGACCGTAAAATACGGAGTTCCTCGGCGACCTCCTTTACGGGGATTGCCAAGACCACCTCTTGGAGGTATTTTAGTTCCCCTACAAGGGTGTCATGGGCGGTCCACAGAGCGCGGACCTGGGATTCCAGGGAAGTCCCCTGGGGGTTGTTATCGCCCGTTCCACGGGGGTTTGAAGCCGCGACAGCGGGAGCGGGCCGGGGTGCCTGGGGCACTGCGGCAACAGCCGGAGTCGATGCTGCATTCCCCTGCAGGGGTGATAACGAGGGCAAAAGGAGGTTCCGAGGTTCCCGGTCGGGGGTATCATTCCGCGATGAAGCGGCGCCAGTACGGCTGGAACTTGTCCGTATAGGGATACGGGGTACGAACCGAACTTCGGAGGTGTCCGCGTTGTCGCGGGAGCGACTACGCGTAACCACTGGCTCCGCATCGGAGGGATTTCTCGACATGAGAAAATACCGTTACGACGGGAAACGATCACAGAACTTCCGGTAAATAAAAACAAACCTCGTAAGAGGGAAAACAAAAACCGATTCTAAGTCAGGAGACCACTTTGTGGTGCAATGCCCCAAAGGGGAAAAACACCGAAAGACGTTCGGGATCTTCCTCTCACGAGGTGAACCCAGTTGGGTAGAGCCCTCCCAGAGGTGTCACGGCGAAGCCGGTTTGTAAGACCAGGGACACCTGTCGCGACTCGCGCAGGGAGGTGAAGGCGAAGAATCGGTATCCGCGTGAGCGGGGTGTGATCCTCAGTAGAGGTATGTTTCCACGTAAGTGGGGGTGTGTGAGCGGATGCGCACACGAGGGCCGCGGATAGCGGGAGGTGCTACCCTAAAAAGGGGAAAAAGGAAGGGCGAAGAGGAGGAAGAGAGGACGATGTGAGTCGCGAGAGCGACGAACAGATACGCAATGCCGATGGACAGGACTCCCTATACAGGGCGAAACACCAATATGATTGGAACAATTATACTCCCAAGGATGGGCTTCTTTAGATGTGCAAGGGGGTTAGATGTCCCATGGTTTACGGCGTTTCCCTCCAAGGAGGAGTAGAGTACGTGCGCAAGCGGCAACAACTAGAGCCAATTCCCCAGGTTGGGGTCCCTGGTTGGGGAAGGTTTACTGGTGCGACGGCAGTGCGCCGTCGCACTAAGTACTAGCTTCCCAGAAATGGGTGTGAAAATAATAAATATTATTAACTAAAATACTCCACATTCTGTGGCAACATCCACTACTGTGGCCAACCGCCAATTGACCCAAAACCGTTTTCCACATGTCCATATCTACCATTGTGGGGCGTAGTTCATATACACACTACACAACCGATAATATCGGGAAAACGATCAAGTACCTAGAATCCCTCCCTGAGGGCGTTGCACTTCAAGCAAATTGAAGAAACTAATCGAGTTCCACAAAATTATCCTTTCCCAAATTGCGAACGTAGACAAAACTGGATTTTCGCCGAGCACTGAGCGGAAGTATGGAAACCAGAAGAACGTTCTGGCTCGGCAAGGATTTACACCAATGTTGTCGAATCAAATATTTGAGAATGTTAATCGAATCACCCTTCTAGCTGCCGTGCTCGCAGACGGGGACCTCGGCCCTCCAATGTTTGTTTTCCAAGGAACGCGACTTCGTGTAGGCAGAATAACTAGAAGTGGAGGAAACGAAGAGAACAGTGAATTTATAAGCGAGTTGTTGCCACACGGATTGCGTGTGACGGCACGAAAAGACATCGTGTCAGTTGACCGCGCAAACTTCATGAAGTGGGCTGAACAGTTTCTGAAGCAAACAGAGAAGAAGAGAAGCACTGGTAAGATTCTTCTGATCTATGAAGGGTATCGTAGTCACCTAGACATTCAAATCTGGGAAATGCTCGCCAAATCAACCTTCATAGCCTATGCTCTCCCAGCTCACACCAGTGGCACAACGCAGCCTCTTGACGTAGCCATATTTCCGTCGCTAAATTATCACTATCGTGCACGTCTGGAGAAGGTCTATCGATCTCGATGCAGGGCACGAAAGCCTATGAACGATTTTGATGTGTCCCAGATCATTTCAAAGGCTTATACTCTCAGCTTAACTAATTACAACATCAACTCTCGGTTATCGAGGTGCGGAATATATCCGTTTGATGAATGTAGTCTCTTCTCCCAAGCTCGCCCTTATATTGTAGAGGAAACCTATCGCCTTGCCAGTGTTGAAGAAATGGTAGATATGATGGATAAGGAGAACGATCGGTCAATTGAAGATTTTATTAACTATGTTCATGTCCATTCGTCCGGATTTCTTGACATTACATATTGTGCCGTACTTAAATCTGATGTGGCATTGGGCTTGTTGAAATTGCAGGACTTAAGAAAGAAGCAGCAGAGGAATGTGAAGGATGTAAAAGAGGCGGAGGAAGCGCGTATGGTTTCTGTAGAGAAAGAAAAGTGGAGGGTTGTAAGGTTGAAGTTTGATCATTTAGCTGCAGTTCGCCGGGTCACTCCATATGGTGACAGATACCAAGTACCACGACCTCTTTCGGTTCGCAGAGCAATTGCAAAGTCAAATACCGCAAAGCGGCACTCTACGTGAAGCTAAGATCTGCCATCAAGTGTAAGCGAGAGCGGCGAAGCGTTTTGTGCGAAGTCACTGATTATACAGAAGTCAAGGCGTTTGGTGACTGTTATTTTTTATTATTCCAATGAGTGCTTTGGTTGTGTGTCTTTCAAGAAAGTAAAGGACAAAACTGCAATTATCTGTCTTTGTGTTCAACTTGAACAAGTGTTGGACTACTTCTGCACAAGTGATGATGTTTCTTTATCGTAGTGGAACATGTGAAAATGTAATCATTGAACATGATAAAGTCCAAATTTCGAAGTAAAAGAAAACTTGCTTGCTACTTTTCTCGTCGTTGTTTCTCGTGTTGTTTAACTTTGTGGGACTCGCACTGTATCTCGATCGCAAAACAGATCTAATGTGCAGGGGAGTGGCGTTAGAGAGGTGGGGATGCGTCCTGGTCTGAAGCGGCGCGGAGTGCAAAAGAACAAAAATTTCTGGATCTAGGGGGGATTGAACCCCCGACCTTCCGTATGCAAAACGGACGCGCTCTAGCGTGCCGCAACCACTGCGCCATAGACCCGTTCGGATGACGGGAAATAGATTTAAACAATATATATACCAAGTTTATGTCATGGTCAATCTCTCTCAGTTCGACAAGGTTGTCTCGCCCTCTCTCTCTCTCTCTCTCTCTCTCTCTCTCTCTGTCCGCACTTCACCTCTTCACGTTCTTCATCCCCCTGCCTGGCGTCGACCTCACCACCCTTGTGAAGTTACAAAAAAAGGCCTTTCCACCATCAGAATGCACTCCCTTTCCGCTTCAAAGCTACACCCACCACCGTCCCCCAAACGCCCTTTCGATGCACCCACCCGCCACGCTCTTCGCAATTGGTCGCCAACTTCGAGCCGCATTCCTCCACAATGTCAGCGCCACCTTATCCGAACGCTGCGGCCATCACAAACGCATTGCACTGAGCCGTCTGACTGCCCGTAGTATCAATCTTCTCTTCCGTTTACCATGCGTTTGATGCCATTGGTCTCTCATGTTGTTGTTCTGCTCCTTGGGATCGGTTCCTTGCTTCACGTTGCTTGCGTACGCGCTGTTGCTTCCCCTACACGTACTCCAAACCCGTCCAAGTCATTTTCTCCCTCCCCGAAACCTTCCAAATATCCCACTCCAACTCCAACGCCGTCGAGATCCGTCACCCCAACCCCAACATCTTCAAGTTCCCCAACACCATCACTCACACCCACACCTACCACATCACCCTCCCCCACCCCTTCTGAATCACCCACCCCCACTCCTCAGTCAGTCCTGGATGACTTCTTTCGTCAGCATCTTGTCAATCGCTATGCAAAGTGGCATCGCGAGAACAGACGCAAAGCGCCCAGACTTGTCGTTCGTTTCAACGAAACCAATCCCGGAGTAGGAGATCGTTTCTCCACACTCGTTTCGGCCTTCATCATAGCCTCCTTTTCAAATCGCGTTTTACTACTGGATTGGATTCAACCATATCCCCTCTCCCATTTCTTCTCCCCGTCCTCCGCCATGCCCGGCATCGAGTTCACCGACGCTGACCGCCGCGAAGAACAACAAAAAGCAAGCTCAAGATATATCTGCGACAAACAATGTACCAAAAAGCTCCATTTGGGACACGTTCTAGGTTCCAAACACTTCATCATTTATCCTCAAGGCGCGACCACTTCGCCTCAACATCTTGTTGCTCATTTTTCTACCACCCATCCCCGCCTTCCGTTGTCCAAAGTATTTGCAAATCTTACTGACGTCGTGACCAACGTTCATGTACTATCGTCTGCGTTCAATGCTATGCTCAAGCCAGCCGCTCCGTTGAAAAAACTGCTTGAAAAGAGAAAACGCGCTTTGAAGCAACCGTTTATTGGAGTGCATGCCCGACTGGGAGCGGGACTCGGTGAAACGGGGCCGCGTTTCGGCTCCGGGCATAGCCCAGAACAAGTAGCGAAGTGCTTTGTCAAGTCAGCTCTAGGTTCTGGGGACACTCATGGCATTCGCAAGTACTACCTTGCAACTGATACCGTGCCATTCCGCGACGTGTTTGAGAACGTGCTCTTGCGCGAACGTCCCAATGCCTCACTCATTCGTTTCGATGATATCATGCCGGTTCACACCAAGGGATGCAAGAACAACGCTTCGGAATGCGCTAGTACCATGATGGAACTCATAGTGTTGTCCAAGAGTTCTTACATCGTTGCCAGCAAAAGCAGTTTCTCAAGAGTTGCGGGTTACATTGGAAACGTTACTGTGGAATCCCTGGGCGTCATAAAGCAGTGCATGGATCGCTACTTCAAAAAAGCGTAAGTACTTCTTTGCATTACAGCTTTCCGGAAGGTCTGAGCAGCATTGGAACTATAAACGTCAAACTTCATAGGCATACAAAGAAAAAGGAGCCCAACGCAAACTGTCTTGATCCAACCTTTTAACCCGTCAATACACAATATCGAAGTACGAGAACGGCGAGACTGTCCCTTTTTCTCATTGCAACCCCTTGGTAGGGTAACTTTCAAGTAGAAGTTCGTGCGAAGGAACCTATTCGGCCTGCAGCACGACTTACGCAATGCACAGCACATGCAGTTATCTGTCTGTATACATGAGCCCGCAACCCAATGGACTCGCAAACCCTCAGTGGGTATAGATTTTGTTGCTGCTTGTATCGAGTCTCGGTGTCATATGGAAGGGACAAGGCATCCAGTTCCTTTCAGCTGCCATTGCTTCGGACTGATATCTGAAGCCTTTCAATACGTTTATAAGGACATAGCACACTATTCTGCTCATATTGATGTGCGGACCATCTCCCTAATAATACTTTGAGCTGTGAAATGGATCAACAAGCGGGTGTCCTTTGGAGTCACCAGTTGCAGATGCAACGATTAAACGCTTACGATGAGTAAAGGTTAAAGTGTCAGTCTTCTAAACCTTTAGCCTTCGTAACCCCTACCTCTGGGAGTAGATATGTTCGACCTCACCTTACGAATAGTTTATAGTATGGTTTCAGTGCTGCAACCTCGCTGCATTCAGCCCGCACCCTTGATGGTGTTCGTGAGATTTCCAGTAGTGGTTGGGGGGACCGATTATCTCCACGGTGACGTTCTCTCGTATGCATGTTGTCTTACAAGCTGTTCAATTCTAACCATCACATTGGGAGTTATCATGACGATCCGTTTCCAAGCACGATAATATAAGACCTGGCAGTGTAATGCGTGTGTGTGTTTATATGAGCTCGTCTCTGTAATTCCAAGACTACGGTATTGGACGGATTGAAAAGAACCCTCCCTCTCTCTAGATAAACCAGTAACTACTCTGGCCATGTTCTTACTATTGATTCGACAGAACCTTGCCTCCCTTGGAGAGGTGGAAGTTCTCTACGTCGGGACGCTGCTCTTTGGCGGCATCTAAAGACGAAATGGTCCACACTATTCAGTATGTTGAGCCCACATTCGAGGGGCCACAAACATTTCCTGTTGTGGATAAGCGAAGAAACAGGGTGTAGTGTTGGGACGTGACCGGTAAATATTTGCGCCAAGGCAGTAGGCACTCTTCTTAGGAGTCACCGTATTTAGCAGCGGCTCTGGAACTTCGCTTATTGGCTCTGCGCTAGTAGTAGGGCGGATGCGGGTTCTTTGCTTCACGTCCTGGAAGTGATCTCTTTTTGGAGTTGCTGCTGAATACGAGGGCACGGATCTTCCTCAACAAGGCTTTTCTCCCGATCCCTCTCTTCGCTTTCGCTACAGAAACACAATATTATCGACTAAGAGATCAAGAATTGGCGATACCCTTGTATGTCATCCTTCCAAAGGGGTGCCAAAGTTGTATCCCTTCGGTCGGCCCCCGAGGAATACTTGTGACCTTAACTAGGCTCCAAATTTCTCGTGCAAGGGTCCTTTAAATTCCACCTTGGGAATGCATCACCTCCTCCTTGTGGGGTTTGTAGAGGTGTCACGGTGCTACGGATGCGCTGACAGTGTGACATACAATGTGACCGACATCTGTGGACCCTGGTGGAGGGTTGATTTTGGGATGCAAACCGTCATAACCGAGGGCTAGTATACCGTACAAGTCTAACCTTCGGAGCCCCTTGGGAGCGAAGTTCGTTCGAATTGTGCGTTTCTGTCGGACAACCACCACCAATCCCTTCCTCCTATCCCAGGAAACAACATGCGGCTCTTCATGGCGTACTAAACACCCTTCTCACGCAAATCAGTAGCATGTGATTTGGGTCAGCACATAGGCCGGCTTGGGGGAACACAGCTTTCATGTAAAAGAGCTTTATCTCATGGATTTAGCACGGTTAAAAGTTGAGGGGCGAGAGCACATTGAAGAGCGGAAACCGTAGGAACTTGTACCTCTTTCGAAGGGACAAGAACCACTATGAAGAAAAGGCCCAGTAAGTAGAGAAAAGCTGGTCGAGCTTACCAACGTTTTTTTTGGAATAAGACAAGCGGGCGTACTCAAACAAGCGAAGAAGTCGAGTGACTCTACGAGAATAATCACTCAAAGAAGCGTCAAAAGCAATTTTAGACACATCTATTTACCCTGTAACGTGACGAATCCACCTAGATACAATTTTGAAGAGAGAGTGCAAGAGAGAAATTGATCTAACAGATGCCTTCAATAGATCCATCGTGAGGCAGTATTGGAGCACCCTGCGCCCTCACGATAGAAAATACCAACGGAGGTTCGAATAATTAAACTTCCTACGTCTCTGTATTTTCGGCAGATAGAAAAACGAAGTATGGTGATGCGGTGTTTCCTGAACTCTTCATGTATTGCAAGTTATGCGAAGCTCTCCTGTTGAAGAGTACACCCCGTGCACCCAAGTCTTCACGCAGTCCCTATTATCAGTGGCTTCCAGCTGGTTTGGAAACACCTTTGCGATTTTTTTCATGAGTCCTAAGATGCTTATTCAGAATAGACCTTCGAGAAAAGTGCTCCCCACAGGTTGTGCACGGATATGGGCGGATTCCTTCATGTCTTGTACGAATATGACGCATATAGTCTCCCTTCTGGACATAGCCAGTCAGGCACGTAGGACAATAGAAGTTCTTTCGCTTGCTTGGCCTCATGGCGCTGTTGGTATCACCCGTGGAGGAACTTGGTTGAGAAGATCCTGCACCACCCGACGAAGAAGACATTGGCGACATGGCCAGGTTTGATGATGACGTTGTTCCATCTTTTGAGTCCATTACCGTTTCCCAATACAGTCTACGCTGTTTGTTGTTCTCAGCGGAGGAGACCGAGTCATGGTTCAAAGGAGAACCGTAAAACTCGTGTCCACAACTACTGCCATTGGCAGAAGATGTGGTTTCTTGCGGTCGGAACATAAGAGCTGTTTTCAGCGCAACTGGAAGGCGTGATTTGTCAAGCAAGCTCCGCCAGACAGAATTGACCACTTTTCTTGAAGAGATACGTAAGTGGATGGTTATTGGTCTTGTGTCGGGGTTTGTTCTTGTAGAGAATCGCGAAGTGTCTCAGAAATGGATATTTACCTTCCGGTTAAGAAGGCTGAACGCCGGTTCTATTCCTTTTTGATGCTTGGTCGAGAAGAC